ATTCCTTACATCTCTCCGTTCATTTCTGAATAATGTTCGTGTGTTGAAGCACGTGGGTTGGTCCCGTGCATCCTGCAGTGCTTGGTCGTGTTCCAACCGAATCTGGGGCGCTTCGATTCACGGTAAAAAATCCTGTCGTGTTTAGTTTCGACGCCCGAGGATCGCCCCTGTGCTTACTGCATGTCACTCGCTGATCACGTGTTTTAATTAATCTGGAATGTTGTTGTGGATGTGGACTTGCACTGTCGTATTCTAATACGTGCACGATTGATAAAAATCGTTGTTCAGGATGTCATTTGAATCAGCTCGTGGACTCAAAGACGTTGCATGTATGTGGTTGTATTGATTGCCCGGATGATTGTAGTTCCATTGTTCGTAAAATTGTAGGGTGGCCCTGCGTATGATGACACCGATCTCCATTCCATGCAGGTTCAGACCCTTGCAAAGTGTGTTTTCAGTCGCAGGTGCACGTGACACACACATGAGTGTTGAATATCGTACGATCCTTCAGCTCACGTCTCTCACTGCACTTTTGTAGGAACGTTTTATCACACACGCGGATAGACATGGAGGGGGAAGGGCGTTTGATCAACAGCCTGCCCGATCCAGAAAGGCTGCGACATGTCATTGACCTTCAGTCGCAGAAAATAGATGTATTGGAGAGGGACGTCGAATGCCTGTGCGAAACGCTTATTTGAAGGGGGGATTATGTGGTGGTTACCGTGATCACAGACGACGATGCGTCACGTGTAGGTGTTGTGCAAGCATGTGATTGTGCTGCTGAATAGGCGGATAGGGTGCAAGCCCGACTTAGAAGAGCGCATGAGGAAGTATCTGCGCAATGTCGACAATATGTTGCCCTCTATGAAAAGACAGCAGGACTATTGTTTGCATGTGAGGTTACCAGGGATGAGTTGCGAGCATACGGAAGAGAAAGGGACTGTGAAATGTCGCAGTTTGTGTCTGAATTGTCGAGATCACGGGACACTTGTTGGTCGTACGCACAGGAATTCGCTTCTATGGTAGACAACATTGCGTCCCTGCAGGTTGTCTTGAACACTGAACACAACAACACGAACCAGATCGACACGCGTGGATCGCAAAGCCAGATCTTGTCGTTGATCCGTGTTTGTCCGGGTGTCGTTCTGCGTGCCATGGTGCACTTCATTGGTCGAGTAAGTGCAGTTTGCGTTGAGACAATGTCTGTCTGTCTTCTTAGGTTGCTTCAGAGGACGGTTGCCGTGGCCGGTATGTCCTTCGTGATGTGGATGACAATGCCATCGACAGTCTGGTAGTGTGTGTGTGTGTGTGTGTGTGTGTGTGTGTGTTTGATGTAATGAGTCCACTGTAACATAAGATACAGCGAGCTTACGTTTTTATTAAAAAACAACACAACATGTAGACAACCGATATCGACGGGCATTACAAGTACTGAATGAAATCATCCACGTCCCATGTGATGGGTATGGCTCTTACAGAATCCGTCCTAATACCAACCATGGAAAAAAAATGAAGGGGATTTTGCAGAGACGATCACCCCAAAACAATGGAAGCAAACGAGAGGGTTTCGAGGGATTTCATTGGCTAAGAATGGGGTGAGCAAAACAGAGGTTAGACGGGGAAACATCCTAGGTGTGAAAAAGGTTCTACTTAAAAAAGGAAAGCGAGAAAATACAAAAAGTTGAACACGACTCATGAGTGAAATACAAAAAAATGCTGATGCGAAAGCAAACAGAGACTCAAAAATGGTATAAAGGCTGCTTATGCTATCAATCGAACACAGGATTCCAAAATAGACCACAAAGCAAATGACGGGTTACATATAGAAAATCGAACCCGGCCGAAACTCTGACCATAAAGGAGAGAGTCGATCAGCACATCATGTTTGGCCCGTAACCACCAGCCAACTCCAATCCGCAACAGATTGATACCAAGAAGAACTCTCGATCGCTGCTCGTGGAAAAAGAGTTTCAGAGGTGAGAAAAAATGAAACATAAGCTCTTGGAAACACCAAGCGTAATTAAGAATTCCCTTAGTGATAAGAACAATCACTACTTCCACTAGGCTTCAATTTGATAAAGAGCTTAACAACCATGCCAGAAGTGAGAGGCAGGATGAAACCCGAGACCATAGAAATTATCGACAAAAACGCAATTACAAAGTTTTCATTCACATCAGTATGTCGAAAAAAATATTAGAGTCCGAAGACGAAAAGATTCATGTACCCCAACTCTTCAAAAGAATCAGGGACTTTTCAAACAGGAATTCCAGGAAAAACTACAACAGAAAAATTTTCCAGAATTAAATATTCAATTTATGGTAAAATTACATTCTAAATTTTAAATTTTCATTCCATCTTAAAAAATGTCATTCCAATTTTAAAATTTTTCGTCTTACTTGAGAACTTTTCTTCCAAGAATGGGGTATCCCTTCTTATTTGAACTGCATGCTAGAGATGGAATGAAAGTCAGGATGAGTTCATGAAATATCTTAATTGGACTGTCATTCTAAGTAAGGATTCTCAGTCATAAATAGGTTAATCCAATCTAAATTATAAGATATTTGTTGTAGTACAATGAAAGTTTAATTAAAACATTTCATAAACTCGTCCAGACTTTCATTCCATCTTGAACAAATAGATGTAGTTGGAAGGGAAAACTCATATTTAGACGGGAACTTATCAAATAACACTGAAAATTTTAAAATTGGACAAACATTGGAATGATAATTTATAAATATGAAGGATTTTTCTTTTATGGAATGTTTTTTCAACTTCCATTTCTCGCGGGAATTTTTCTGTTGTACTTAAACTCAGGGAGGGTGGAAGACACACACTACAGAATGATTGCATTTACGACCGATTATCGCGATAGCGAACATGACAAGAATTACTAGAATCGCAATAATGGCGGCTATTGCAACAAAGATCAAAGATGGAGGATGAAAAACAACTGGGGGGAAGGGGGAAGGAGAAGAAGGGGAGTGGTCATAGCAGAAGTTTTGGGTGGGATTGGAAAAAAGGCGGATGCAGCCATGATTAAAGGCCAAGATAATAAGCAGGGTGGTGACCAGGATAGCAAAGACAGAGATCATGAGGAAGAAGATCAACGAAGGGTGACGTGACCCGAAAAAAGTTATGTTTAAAGGCGAGCAGGACACTTGGGATTACCAAGCTGGGGCAGGAAGACTTGGTAAAGAAAGAGAGGTTACACAATGAATTGCGATGGTGTATGCTATTAAAAAATAATAAAAAAAACTAACCATGCTAGAAATAACGTGAGGAGGGTGACTAATGCTAGGAGAAATGTGGGAAAATCGATAAGAAGAACGAATCGTTCAGATTAAGCACGAGGAGAGCTCCTAGATAAGTCTCGACTCCTTCAGCAGTCCCTACAAACAGGTCAAACAATCATGCAACCAAATACGAGAGTCGAAAAAGGTAAGGAAGCATCCATACCCAAAGCAAATGATGACATACCATTTATGAAAAACAAGAGGGGGGGGAAAGAAGAAAAAAAAAAAATAGAGGAGTAGAGAAATAGAGAAATAGAACTCCCCGTCCGGCCGAGCGACCCCAAGTGCCGACGAAACCAATATAAGGGTTCGACAGACGAATCCCATAATTTTTTTCGCTAGTGTCTATCAGACTAGCTCATCAGGGGAGTACAACCCTTAGGTTAACGTTCCAGAGGGGAGAGTAGATCCATGAACGGTCTAAGAAGGGCAGAGTAAGAGTCAAGAAGAAAGAGAGGGGGAAGAGAGATGGGCGAATTAATGGAAAAAGATAGTTGTTACCGCTGCAGGTCAAGAAGAGGAAGATCCTGCCATGCTTGAGGAAGGTGGTCAGAAATCACAATGGTGTAACGTTAGTAGGCCAGTTCTCCAAAGTCTCAAAGAAACGAGAACCAAAGAGTGCGTCCCGGAACCAAGTCGATATGCCTGAGCAAAATCGCACAAGCGGTATGGCACAGGGTGGCGAACAACAGTAGCAATCATCAGCAAAGCGATGAGGGCGAGGGCAAGCAAGTAATACAACCCAGTGCAATAGCCAAGCTGCCAACAGGACGTCGGAGAGCCAACAAGGCGGAACGGAGCAAGCGTGACTCCTGCGCAAATCAGTATGAACGCAGATGGCAGAGATGCGCGTATCCACAGCGCAGCGCTGGGCGTCTGGGTAATGTCAGTAGTCCGAGCGCAGAGGCGTGACCACGGCGCGCCCACCGGAAAACAACCGGGCGCACGAAACTTCAGGCAGCATCGCGTACGCATGCGCACTGTTTGAAGGTGAAAGTGACTGTTCACATCCCATATATAGGAATAAACCACACCAGGCGCAGGGAAGGAGCGCCATGTGAAAACTGGGTGGAGGCATATTACTTGGGACGAGTATAGGGGTTGGAGGGGGTGGTGGGATGGGGGGCGTCTACAGGAGGTACATTCCAAGTAAAATTCGCATTGGCTGGAACAGACCCGCTTTTTGGAGGCACAACAAGGAGGTGATGTGCGAGAGAAAGGTTCGAGGCTCATCGGCGGAGAAAATGCCCATTTTGAAGGTCGCAGCAGTTTGTTAGGGCCAGGTGTAATATTTTGAAATATATATATATATACATCCGTATGCAGACTATGTGAAAATCATATATATATATATGTAATACACCCGAATTTATATATATATATGTTTCCTTTTTTACTGTGCCTATTTTTCGCTTACTTTCTTAATCTTTATTTTTTATTTTTTATTTTTTATTTTTGAAACCGTGAGAATGTGTGTGTGTGTGTGTGTGCGTGTGCGTGTGTGTGTGTGTGTGTGTATGTGTGTGTGTGTGTGTGTGTGTGTGTGAGAGAGAGAGAGAAAGAGAGAGAGATTAATACGTACATAATATCATAGATACATAGACTGACAGTTGCATACATTTCTAGAGAGAGATTTAATAGTTCCAAGTGTTGTTTCACACCTTTGTAGCAGCCACGATGGAATTCATTGTGATGTGAGACAGCTCATGTTTTCAAATTCTTGAGCAGTGCAGGCTTGGCAAGTTTCCATCAGTTTGTAAAGGCGAAGAAGCTGGTGAAGCTATTTACAAACAGTCGAAGACATGGACAACCGGCCGTGCATGGTCAATGCAAACTCTGTTGTACCAGGAATGAGCACAGTGGACCGTGCGAGGAGAAGTGTTTCCACCTTCCCCACAGCACTTGTCCAAGCATTTGTTGCGCAAGAAACCCCTTCTATACAGATGGGGATTAATGCTCCGTATGAGATTGGTGGATCCTCAACACAGCCCTTCGCAGGTGAGGTAACACAACAAGCAAGCGAGTTAATGCACATGGGCGTCCAGGAGCAGCTCGATGTTGCGACTCGCGTTCCCGGCATGGCGATTCCGATAACATCCGTCAACCCCTCCCACAACAACGGGCAACTTTTTGCAGCGGAGCCTACATCGAGAGCGTGGTTGGCAGCGAAACGACCACGAGAGGTCTTTGAGGAGGGCGGGTTGGAGCACATATTATGGAATTTGGATGAGGATGGACTATCTGGCGAGGACATAGAGGAATCGAGCGGGGAATTCGACGATGTCAAACCCGTGACAGGTGCCCCTCTCCCCCGGGTTCTATACGAGCTCAGTGTTGTTCGCGTTGCGCAAGAGTTTCCAAACATCACAGATTTTCGGAAGGTCGTGGCCGATGATGCGGTGAAGAAGAAGTATGAGTTTCGGATTGTGAAGTCCGATCCAACAAGGTACACAGTGAAATGCAAGGCGAAGGTTGTGGGTGGTGGTTGCACGCTTCAGCGGTGCATGGTGGACTGATGTTTAGGATCAAATCAATTGTCGCACACTGCTGTCATAGTGGCGGTGTGTGCAAACTCTCCAACAATGTCGTCATGGCTGCTTGGGTGTCACGGTGGATAGAACGGAGACTACGTGACAAGCCGGACTACTCGTCCGTCGACATCGTGAAAGATATTTACTGACAATATGGAGTGGCTATCAAGTATCGACTTGCATGGTCCGCGAAGGAAGTGGCAAAGGCCAGAATTGTCGGGCTAGATGATGACGGGTTCCGCAATCTGCGGATGTATTGCGACGAGGTTCAACACTCGAACCCGGGGAGCCTCGCTTTCATGCAAACAGAGGCAGGATGTCATCGCTCAAGCGCATGTTCTATGCACTAGAGGCATGTTTGGCAGGTTTCATGCATTGTCGCCCGCTCCTCGGCCTAGACGACACATTCTTGAAGACAAGATACAAAGGTATTCTCTTATGTGCCACGACAATGGATGGTGAAGGTCACCTTTTTCCCGGTGGCCTTCGCGATTGTGCCCGGCGAAGACAGCGATAATTGGTTATGGTTCCTCCACCACCTCGGGGCGTCCACCCGATCACGGGCCGCCGATGAAGAGATTATAACCTTCTTGTCAGATCGAGACAAGGGTCTTATCGACGCGGTGAGTATTGTTTTTCCGACCTCTCCCCACGGATATTGCATGCGACATTTGAGTGAGAACATCAAGAAACGCAATAAGGGGCCCGAGTATCAGAAGTTGTTGTGGGCAGCCGCAAAGGCAAACACTGTTGCCAAGTTCGACAATTTGATAGCGCACATGCGTGCTATGGACCCCGACACGACAACGTGGCTTTTACGGACGTGTGATCCTGTGCATTGGGCCGATGCGCATTTTGAGGGAAGGCGATATGGCCACTATACATCCAACATTTCAGAGTCTCTGAACAGTTGGATTATGGAGGCCCGGGAGAAACAGGCCATGTCCATGATGGAGGACATCCGTCGGCGTGCTTATCCTAGAGGCGGAGCATGCACTAGCAGTGTGCAGGCAGAAAACTCGAAGATATCGAGCAATCGCTAGGAATGACGACATATTTGAGGTGTTGTGCGGGAACTCTTCCCAGCGTGTGGTTTTGAGCGAGAGTTCGTGCACATGCAGGTGGTGGCAGTCGAGAGGCATTCCTTGCCCACATGCCATCGTAACCATTCTTAGCACAAACCAGTGTCCGCAAAGGTTTTCCTGCCAAAAGTTCTCTGCGCAAGAGTATCAGGCAACATATGTGGGGTTGATCCATCCACTGCGGTCGAGGGAGATTTGGGCATCTGACAAGGTCGTCGGAGACGTGGATGGAAAGGAAGGTGGTGATGGGTCGGGAGTGGAGCAAGATGACCCGGACGTTGTTGAAAGCAGCATTTTGCGACCTATCACACGCGCGGAGCGGGGACGTCGCACGAAGGTGCTCAAGCGCGCAAAAGGAGACGGGATGCCAACCAAGATTTTCACGTGCAATCTGTGTGGAGGGTACAGGCACTCCCGTTGAACTTGCAGAAACGGGAAGAAGAAGCAGTGAAAGATTGCAAAATTGTGTTTGTGTGTGTGTGTGTGTGTGTGTGTGTGTGTGTGTGTGTGTGTGTGTGTGTGTGTGTGTGTGTGTGTGTGTG